GAGTTTAAAATTTCAAGGAGGGTCTATGTCTGGAATGAATTCCTCCCTCTCGATGTTTAATTCTAATGCTACATCGATCAATATACCTATATAGTAATCTAAGGCTCCGTTAATTGAATACGACGTATATTTTTGCTTATAGATAATAAAGAAATGAATGTTACCAATGTTAGTTAGGAATGAACTTTTAGGAAATAACTGTTTTGAGTAAGAGGTTATAAAATCAAAATATACAATTTACATGATATTTGAGTTTTTTATTTTATTTTTTTGTTGTTGCTTGTTACCTGCAGATATTATAGAATCACACATTAAAATAGTATAAATGAGGATGAATAGAGTAAGTATTAAACTTTCGATATTTTCATTAAAAAAAAAAATCCCTCTTGATAAGATCAAATAGCATAATTATTTCTTTACTATCTATGGCCTTGTAAGTCTTAATGATTATGGCTTTTAAGTTTTGATTTTAAATACATCAGTGTAAAATTTGACGTATTAATACCAGAGTTATTGAATTTACTTGCAGCGTTTCTTAACGAATCAATTCACACTTAGCGCGTGGTTTTGTAATAACGACTATAATGAGTACCATTGTCCATTACTATACCAATACGATACCATTGTTTAATAACATAATATATCATAATCTAATGACATTACATTAACTATAACTATATACGACAAACGTGTCGTTTTGAATTTTTTGGTTTTTTTATTTATGCGATTGTGAAAATGAATGTTCAAGCTTTTTACTATTACTATACAATATTTATACACGGACCAAACGCGTCTGTTCATTATTGAGACCAAAATCAAAGATTTGATCTCATAAGTCTTCATAAATTATGAGTGCCAATTTTGTTCAAACCAGAATGACAGGACCGCAATAACACACACGCACACACACAAGGTTATTAAATGTAATTAGAACATTGCACAATAACCAGCCAGTGGAACACTCCGACTTTCTTGTATAGTTGTACCTAAATATATAACATATACATAGTTAATTCTCGAAGTTTATTTTACTAATCTGTTATGCACTTATTACCTATATGTAGTTTAAGCGTGTACAATAATTAGGTATAGTATAATTAATACGCACTGTCCTGTTCTATAAATTTACATAACATGTTTATTATTTGCGATCAAACAGTTTAATAATAATAATACAATAATACAACTAATAATATAATGTGCAATAAAACAAAAAAATTTGTATTGTTTGTTATTATATTGTACTAAAACGATAACTTTAATTTTCGAAATGTCAGCAGATTATTAAAGGTACTTCTATTAATCGTTTTTACACTTTTTTTATAGTTAACAAATTATATAATATCACTACTTCTTATACGGTGATTTAAATAATTAGTAATGTGATACATATCTTCATGGGTGACGGTTTTATAGTTCGTCAAGATTAAGCAATAAATATTGTATAAGATATTTAGARTCATAATATATGATAGAATTAAAAAAAAAGAACTAAATACAAAATCTGATAGAATAAAACTAGTATAGACGATTTTTTTAGTTAATAAAAACGTTTTGTTAATTCGATTCTTTAGATTTAAATTTTGTTATAATTTTTTTATCAAAAATCTTCTTAGAGAAGTATTTTTTTTTTTTGAAAAACATCAGAGCATATATATATAATGTCTATAACATGTAAATATGTAATTAGAGAAAAGTTATGTTTCTTATGGTCATTTTATTTACAATATACTATAATAACTATATAACATATAACACGCTTAATCTTTCAAAACTAAATTAGGATCAAATCATTAAATAGTATGAATTTGTAAGATAGAAACCGAACAGTGAACGGTCTGTTAGCTGTAAAATTATGTAGGTATAATGATTTTTTATCTTCTATTTATCTACTCTAGGCTTATATTTCCGGGATGAATTAATATATACATTTTACTACTCAGAATTACGAAATATTCTTTCGATCTCTTTTTACGTAAGTCTTACTGCAGTTGAAAATAAACAGTACGYCATGTTTTGTTTAAAGTTTTCTAGTAAAAAATACATTTTATTTTCAAATAGTTCTTTCTTTTAAATGTTATGTTTTTTTAAACTATTAATTTAGAAAATATTTTAAAGAATGTATATTGTTTTGTTCGTTAATTGATATTTACGATACACTAATGTCAAAAATATTTATAAAATGTTAWGTGTTGTACGTKAGAGCTATGTTATAGCCATCGAATATATTTGTATTTTATGAATACTTCTCATCTATTCGTATGAATTGAAAAAAAATATATATTACGTGTTAATAGTAATAAACTTCTCGGATAACTTTCAATAAGTTATGAAATAAATGCATAATAATATATTGTATGTATTTAGGTTTTTTTAATTATGTTTCATTAAATGTTGAAATAGCTGCAGATTATTATAAATATAGAATCGTATCGTATTCCATTTCGGAACGAGTGTTGTTGACAAATCAGTCGATGGGATGGAACCTATACCTACTAATAAAATGCGTTTAATATAAGATATTAAATATGTAGATGTATATTATGTTATGYGGGATATATACATTCATATTGTACGCATAATCGTATAAATATATAATAAAATTAAAATTCTTTTTTATCTTTCTGGTCATCGACTCTGTGATATTTAACTACCTATCTACTAAAAAACACCGTCTGAAGAAAATATATAATGTTACATTAACCGAATATTTTCATCCGTTTCTCGTATACGATATTTTATGTACGCAGATAGGAAACCTTATACTTATCGGATTGTCCGTGCTATATCCTACTATTTTCAACAAGTGTGTACGGACTGTAAAAAGTATTACATGCACGTATATACGATGTTATTTTATTATAAAATTACGACGCAACGATCGGGACGGTGAAGTTCGCAATAAGTTCATTGGACGCGTATTWGTGTTATTAATAAAATATGATATTTACATTAGGTATATCATCATACAGGGTGTTTGTCCACAAAGTATATAGGTTTGCACATTTTCTGGTGTATTAATGATCCTCAGTAGATAGATCGACTTTAATATCATTTGGCGCAAAATAAAAAAAAGCTAAAATAATTTTTCGAGTTTCGTTAGCGAACTTCTCAAATAATAAATTTATCTTATTACCTATTTAAATGAAACAAATTACGATTGTTTACGCGAATCCTTAAAATGTCCTTATTCMTTTACCGTTGCACTGTACTATAATATTACTATAATATAATATCTGAATAACTCTCCCCTTATACGTGTCTTAAGCCCCCTTGACAACYATACGTCGTCAACGACAAAGATACGTCTCTTAACTTTTGATTTATCTAAATGACTTTACCTATCGCTTATGGTTACCTTAGGTTTAGGTGATTATAATATGGTCACGAGGGTGAGTGTGAGGAAAAACTGCACGTTCGGACACCCTGTATGTAATAACTATACAGTAGGTATACCTAGGTATATACGTGTATGGTTTTCATAATGTGTTTCGTATAATAATTATCATTATCGTTATTATAATATATTGTAACAGAGTACGGGCGATGCGTGAGTATAATATTTACGTATGTACACGTAATAATAATATTATTAAAAATCTAGAGTTTCAGCAGGACACGTATCGAGTACAATAATAATACAATACTATAAATTATAAAGAGTATAGGCCAGTGGTTAAGGAAACGGGTTCCTGTACAGTTATCCGCCGCCGCTTCTGATGGTGACCTTGTTGTACAAACAGTGCGTTTTGYGACTACAACGACACATACGTAATATATTATCGTATTATATTAATTTTGATTTGTCATTAGACAAAAAAACACTAGATCATTATATAGGGGGATTTGAAAATCACGCTTTAACTGCAATAGGTAATCCATATAATAAGTTATGATTTTTGGGATCTTTAAACTTATGTAAATTATTTTATAATAAAATAATATTTTCAAATACATAAGTATATAGTCCCGTGTCAATAAATTTTTTCTTTTTGACTGCATTTTTATTGAGATATATATATATTTTTTTTCAAAATGTTTTAATCAATATATTTAAATCAAAATCTGAACAAGTATTTTTAGAGTTCTAAGCCTTATGAACTATAAAGATGGTGTGTTATACAGTCAATTACAATACGTTTTAAAGAAACGGGACTATGGTTATGCATTTATCAAATATAATATTAAATATATGTACCTACTWAATATGATATCAATATAGGCTAGTGTTTATTACACGTATTCAGATAATATTTGTATAAATCATAAAATACTATCGATTTCTAAAATGTTTCAACGAATAATAATGTAGTGGTCAAATGTTTATTTGAATTAAAATCTAGACATAATAATTTAATGTTTTAAAAACACTTATCTATTTAACAACTTTTTGGTTAAAAAAAAGGGATCCTTGTTTGAAAATAAAAAATTTTATCGCCACCAGATATAGGTAAGTATTTTTTAAATATTAAAAATAAGCCATGAGCATTTAAAAATTCATCTAATTTAAATAYCTATGCTAGAACATCCAAAAATCAGAATTTGATCAAATTCTACATAATCGACGGACAAATCGGGGGTGAGCGTGCTCGGTGAATCACTCTGTATAATATAATAAGATGTTAGTACCTATAGTATAATATTATGTGTATGCCACCGTAACTCTTCCTGTCGAAATTATGTTTACATTATGTACACATCGGTTTTTTTTTCATATAGGTACCTGTGTACATTAAATAGGTACCTACGCCCTTTCCTGTAGCAGTGCACCGTTGCCAGTCATTCCGAAACGATACGATGATGATATCGTGATTCGTATTTAAACGATAATTAGTCGGTTAATTATTCGTGCGGTATAATAATAAATCAAAGGTAGGCATTGTCCGCGCTGACGGTCACGGTGTGCGCGAACATTGCGACGAAATCCCGAAATTAGGTCATCTCCGCCTCCAATAGGATGTCAATTTAGGTTAGATATATATGTATATATATATATTGGATAAATGTGTTACTGTTTATTATACTGTTTAAGAATTTAAGTGTAAGGCTTCACGTGGTATACGGTATACACATGTCTATAAACGTTTATTATACACTGTCTACCATGATGATAATATTATCGTCGTCGTCGCCGCCGTATAAATCGCAATTTAATTAACCGTGGCGGTCGCGGAATCCATGATAACTCCGATCACCAAGGTTATGCACGGCTTCCACGCATCCGCCATAAGCGCAAATCTGGCAGGTTCGTCTGTCGGCAAGCGATCCTCAATCATATGTGTCAGTACGTCTTTGACGACCTGCATAAAACACAAACAGCACACAATTATTAATGATCACAACARCTGTTATGACGTTTACTATTATCACAGAACAATGATGTACGATATCAATTTGTCGGTGCCCTCAGACAYTTGTAYCGAGATGGAGGGAGGAATTTACWTATWAAATACATATTAATACCTAAATGTTGTGGGATGCTTATCAGGTAGGTATTTTTTTATAACTGTGACATTTATTTTTCTTCGTAAAACGCACTTTCAATCTGCTGTCATAGTATATTCGATTTAAGATTGACGAAAATTACGCGTTATCGTTACGATAATAYAATTTTAATATTAAAGGTGATATTTTATTACCACAATTAGAACAGCCATTTTCTCGTAACAGTTAATTAAAAATGGTTTTTAATTTTTATAACTTATTTACAATATTACAACTCATCAGCAACAACTGGATTGAAATTAAATTTGTAACTATAGAATATCATCTTGTAGAYTGTTGTAGCATAAGAAAAAAAAGGAATGATAGGTTTTWAAAAATGCTAGTTAACTGTAGTTGAAAGAATCAYCCGGTATGACACGTATCCAGTCGTACGGCAATACAATTTGAGACACGAGAATATAATAAGTTACCTTCCTATCATTATTATGTCGARTGACACGTAGAGAATTGAAACTGTCGATATTGGAAAAAAAAGAATCTATTGTATTATATTATAATATATTAGATGAATATATAATAATAATATTCAATTATTACGAACGTTCTTTCTGAARCAGACTTGACCGTAATACATTTACGCGCTCGAGTGTCTATTATAATAATATAGTCATAAAATAGTTTATAATTTAAAATGTATATATTATACAATGTATATATACATAAACATAATACATGCAGTATATTATATAGGTACTTAACCTAACCATTTACGTACCTACTTACCTACCTATAGATGCAGCACGTCCGATCGGATTTCCGTTAGATCGTTTGACACGTTCTTATAAGTTACTCCGCGAGTTGTACACAGTTATGTAATTTAAACGCATTTCTATGACTTACTAAAACTTACGATATCCGCACACACACTTTTGAATCTTCTTTTTGCTCAATTTTATCACTTTTTTTATTATGGTGTGATCGTAGAGACTATAATATGTAAATACATTAATATTACAATGTTACCTCAATTTGCAGTTGTTAGTCTTCTAGTCTAGTGCTTCTCAAACTTTTTTTTGTTGTACAGGAAAAAAAGAAATAGAATATATGAGTTTCCTCAGAGCAATGTTTTGAAATGCTTGAATTTTATTAATATTTGATTTTTTTCGCATTACCCCAATATAATGATATTAATAATAATGTTATTTACTATTAATTGCATCGTTACAAAAATAACCAAATAGTTTTAATTATTAATTACTCACCAGACCAATGAAAATATATTCAGCTTATATTATTATTACATTAGTCACTAATGATTAGTGGCACGAAATTAACATACATGTAAATAATAATGATACTTCCACATTTCACACAATATTTAATTTTAATAGTAATTAGTTTGTTGAATACGTAATTATTTGCTTCTTTGTTAAAGTATTGATATGAATATATGAGTACTTATGTAAACTATCATTATAATATATTGAGTCATACTTTGATTTTCAGAAAATTRTTTTTATTTTATTTAAAATGTATTATTCTATACAACACATAGGTAAAAATCATATTAAAACAAATATTGAATAAGTAATAACTCTTATATAATTGAATTTTATGGTTCATTATTAAAAATATCAATAAAAATAAATTTTGTGTAYCTACAAGTGTAACAGAAAAAACTGACTTATACAATAACTAGTTATAGTCGATATTCAATTTTTTTTTATATATATAATTTGTAAACACTTGCGCCATATTTATAGTGTAAATTTTCTCAGTTTTATTTCAAAAATCCGACTTTTTTGAAAAATTTCAAAACAGCCAATTTGTAAATCAGATTATGCAAACAATTGTAATGGTAAAAATATTTATTTATTTWAAATGAGTACATTTCTTAAATTATTTACTATCYATTTATTTTTTACAATTTTTGTCATACGTTTAATTAGCATCAATTTTTTTTAAATCTTTCTGTAATAGGTACTGTATATATAAATTAATTCTATACATAAAACTTAATTGATTATTTCGTTTAATAAAAATCTATTTATTTTGTAACAGGTTTTATAATTATCAATATTATGAATTACTATATGATTAATTTTGTATTTCTATTGAATATATTATACAYTATCGTCAGCAAAAAATGAATTACCTAATCCAATAATCCATGAATAATAACCAGATTTAAAAAATCGAACTAATAAATTACTGAATTAATTCTTTGGCAAAATGATTATGGATAATTTTTGTTTTTATTTACCTCGAAATGTTCAGCCGTAAGACGAAATTTGCGGTGTTTTTCTCCCAAATCCACGAGGACTTTGTTTAATTCATCGGGTGTTTCCAAGAGTTCAATTGCAGTATTAAATGCAAAGCCTGTCCTGAAAGAGTGTGCCGTAAAGTRAACGTTTGATTCAAGCTCATCGAATKGAACATGAGCGAAACGATCGAATTGTAATTGATATGATGGACTTCTCTTGAACAGACTTCGGGGGAAAAAAAATATGCATTTATAAATCTATACATTTTATGTAGTGTACTTCAAATACAACTAGAAAGTATAGACACTTTTGTATACTTAATATAAAACGAAGTCCAAAAACTATTTGAAACAATCATCGGCCATGATTGTTTCACCAGAGCCGTCTGAGACTCGTTCAAAAATCGTGTAGACTTCATACTAGTTATGAAAAAAGTAYAATGACAAAATTAGTAAGTATGGTTTTTGTATTACTTATATTATTATATAATTTTTAATATTGTTTAAGTTTAGATAAGACACGTAGTTGAGAATTTAATAGTTAAAAGAAAAATGTATAGTAATACATATATTTTTTTTTTACTTAACTAACTAAATATGGAAATAGATTCATATGAGATATTAAATACATAATAAATAGGTAAACAACTAGCAAAAGCATATTTTTCTCGTTAAGTAGTTATGAACTTTCTGTATGTATATATAAAAAAAAAATGAATGCAACGCAGTCAGCTGCAGGTTGTCTGTATTTAATGGCTTATAATGGCTAGCTTATTATATTGTCATTATATACAGCGATCTTTTAATTAATTTGATTCATATATTATTTCGAAATATTTTCTTCCTTGAGATTTATTAAGGTGCTTAGTATGAGTAGATACTTAATTTACTATACATTATTACTCGACTGACCAACTATACAGTTTCAGTGTAATATTACTTTTTTAAATTTGTTTTTAATAAAATATAAAAAGCGTAACGTTAATGATTGGAATGGCCGAGTTTTTTTGTTTCGTAATCAGTAGCGTTTTACTTTACTCTTTAGCAATTATAATACAGCGATAAAGTGAACATTTTCTAAATTGGTATAAGCCCGCATAGTCATATTGAATTTACTRTATTATTATTATTTGTTTTCGTTTAATTTTTATATCAAAGGCCATATTGAAACTATTTATTGATGTTAAATACACAAAATATCCTTAATTAAATAATTATATGGCATTTTAATGGAGATGTAAATATGCATAGATAGTAGTCACTAGTCAGGCCTCAGGCTGTAATAGATTTATCTACCTATTGATTACTGCTTGGAAATTTAGTAATTTATTTTCATTTTTCGTTTGTTCTCACTACTTTTTTATCAATTAATATTGTTTTTTCAGTTAATCTTTATTCCTAAAAAAAGCACAACTTAATGAGTTCATGCTCATCATCGTTGTAAATTATGTGTTCACAATATTTTAATAGAACTTAAAACCTTCTTAAAGTATACTAATAATGCATTGTTGAGTCATATACATATTAATATATTATTATTCGTATCATGGTATACATGGAGTTAAAAACCATATTGTCATTGTTGTCTGTGATATAGAAGAGTGCTTCTCAACCTGGGAGCCGTGGCCCCCTAGGAGGCCATGGCTATATGACTTAGGGGCCTTAAAATATTTAWTTAATTTATTAATCATTGTCAATAAATTCTAATGTTAGATTACTATTATTAAATAATAATAAMAATTTTAGGGAGGCCTTGACAGTCTTACATTAAATTCAGGGGGCCTCTATAACAAAAAAGGCCGAGAAGCACTGAGGAACGTATCATAATGTGAAGATAAAATATTGTTAGTTTTATAAACGAGCGAAGGCTTATATATATATATGCGTTACAACACTATTTTTTAAAAACCTGCAATGTTTCGATTGCCAAGTACGTATACATAATTATTGATGTTCGATTGGAAAAGGGTAGGTAGATAATTTACATAAAATTTCTGTAAATTAATTTCTTGTTTATGTACAATAATGTATACCGTAAGGTATAAAGAAAAGTATTATTGGGGTTTTTTTATTATAATATGTTATTTATATTTAAAATAATTATTGAATAATTTACATTTGATTTAAAGTTGAYGTTATGTTAAAATTATTAATACTATTTGTTGGGTGATTATAATATTATAGTTTTCTATAATAGTACTAACTACGTCAATGATTATACAACACTAATATGGTCGGGTAAATAAAGTTCTACAGTATTTTTGAATGCWACTATATTTAAAATATTATATTAGTTATTTTTTTAATAAATTGTAAGAKAATTAATTGATTGTAAATTGTAACTCTGAGACACTACTATAAGATATAATATCTAAAAAGGAAATACTCTAAGGATTTGTTGAATAATAGCACGTGGGTTTGGTTGTGGGTAGTTATATAATGTGTGTAGGACATATAGGTACGCTAAACTCTGACTCTCAGCCAAATTGTTTGCTATCTACCTACATATTTTAATTTGTGAACTGTAAAAATGTAATATAAAGAATACGCTATAGTATGGTTTTCATCTAATTATCTTGCTTTGTTGGCTAAGCCRAAGAAGATGCGTAGAYGTGTCGATTTTATTGTTTTTGTCAACAAGTTGCACGTTTAGCTATAGAACAAACCACGACGATTTGTCGCTTCTAGGTCAGCATTAWAAATTATAATAGCAGATTATATWATATCGATAAAATTAAACAGAAACAATTATCCAAATCACAACCTCGGTCTGATTCTTTACACGTTGACTATTACAAAAACGTAATTATTTACGAGAATCGTGTTTAATATATTAAGCTCCGGGATAATTTAAAAAATGTTTAAATTATTTTTAAAGTTTCATTTTTGAAGTTTCACGAAAAATACTTCATGATTCATCTGAAATGATCACATAAGTTTTGATTTTCATAAAATGTCACCACAATATTATAGCTTATATCATAACACGCATGGTGTAGGTATGTATAAAATATAATGTTGTAATATTCAACAAGTAAACCACGTGGCTTAATGTGAATCAAATAATTTTTAGACTTTATATATTTATATAGATAAACAACGGTTAACCGGCCGAGTATGTGCAGTATTATCATTTTAATAAAATAATAATAATATTATATACTTCCATGACCGTACTGAGTCCTAGTAAAATTGTCTAGAATGACGGTAAATTGTCAAACTAAACAAAAACAAAAAAAATGTAAGTCGAGTGATATGACAGTCATACGCAATTAAATATTATTTTGAATTCTTCTCACAATATACCACACACATCATAAGAAAAAGAAATCATTATTGTTGATATATTATTTTATTGAGGGAAACGCAATATCATATTATATTGTACGGTGGTGTATAGCTGGTATACCGTAAAATTATTATACCCGCCGTCTGTGGTTTTGCCCGATCTAGAACTCGTTGGACGGGATGGATATAAAAAAAATATAATATGTCAACATTCGATTTGATACACTGCGCATAATAATTATATATATATTATATATTATGTCCATGTAGGATTTTGTTCTAAATAGTTCGTGTTTACCTATATATCCAAAATCGAACGAACCCGTGACAACGGTAGTTCAATTCAAACGATCTGATTTCAATTTCACACGTTAAACCACTGATAAAAATTACACAGCAATTTGCGAGTTTTGCTTGCACAAATAATGCACTCTGCGATACCAACGAATTGTATAACAGGAACACATGTACATAGAGATTATGGATTCAATTATTGAACAAACAAGATATTAAGAGTCGAGTATGTAAGGTGCGCGTACTGCGGATTTTTCTTCACTCACTGTAACGTTGAAAAAATCATTTAATTATTAATTAATTATCATTATTTATTATTAAACAATGACGTACCAACTACAGAACAATAGAAAACAACTGCACACATTATTATTATACAATATTATAACAGTCGCTATTTTGGTGCGATGTATTTTTTTTCACCGATAGAAAGTATTTAGAAATATCACTGCCATAGTTTTTCAGCGCTTTAATTTTTACAATATTATTCTGTTAATTTTTAAAATAAACATTGATGATCTAGCGGATAGTAATGATGCATTCATAATTAATATTTATGAATATAAAATACGATTATTATTGAGATAACAATATTATATTATATTTATGCGCTTGTTTATATATAGAAAACCGTTAATATTTTGGTTAACTGCATCTTCGCACCAATTTGAATTGAATCAATAAAAATAAAAATTACACCAATCAGTATGTATTATTTAATACTTAAAATGCTGGTCTTGTAATATACATATAATGGTAACATTATTACTAATCATATTAATAATGTATATTATTATTATTAAATAAATTATAATATAGTAAAATATATTGCCATCGAATATAATAATGCTTGTTAATAGTAGGTATCAAACATAAAAAAAAATGTATAATAACTGATGTGTTAGAGATGATGAAATTACTTAAAATTCTTATCAGTTTCATAGTATTCTATCGCATCATAAAATATTGACGACTTGCATTATATAATTATGGGACCTACCTGTATTATACACAGATAATAACCAATATAAAGTTAAATAAAAAATTGTAAATCTGCTAAATATTAACTATTAGAATGAACAATTAGTAAAAAATATACTATATTTGATACTAAGTATTAGTTTTTACTATTATTTGGCAAATGAGAATAGGCTAATTTACATATGGATCTATTTAAATAATTCAGATCATTGTTGAATAATACGTATTAAATATTTTGCCTATAGAAAATGAAAAAATGAACTACGTAACTGTATGAATGTAAAATTTAATATCAAAATTGTATCCATAGACAAAATATCGAAAATAAACCGGTAGTATATAAACCTAAAGTAGAAGAGGTTTTGAACACTACTGGAATATTTTATTTCGATCGAATACAATGAATAATGATGTTCTAAATCATACTGCTGCAGCATGTCTCAGAATTCGAAAGTCATCATTAACATTTAGTATTTACTATATGTATACTGCGGGTTAAGAAATTAATATTTTTAAATCAGTTTCATAGAAACTAACACATGGTCTGAATGGATTACAGGCTACAGCATTAACAATATGTATCACACTTAAGATTTTCAAGATTTAAATTTTTTTAGCATTAAAAAAAACTTCACGAGTACATAAAATTTTTACATTTCAACCGATTGCAAGTTTAATTTTTCAACATTTTTCTAGAAAAGTCGATTTCAATACTAAATATTAAATTAATAGTGCATAATTATTTAAATGTGTAATTTCAGTTAAATAATTTGACCAGTGCTTGAATCATTTGAATTGATATGGTAAATAGGACCAGAGTTTATTTTTCAGTTTTAATACGTACGTAAGTACTTTAGTACGTAATTTGTGTAGCTATGTTTTCTGGAAAATCGTATTAAATGGCTTGGGGATCAAATAGGTAAATAGGAAAACATAATAATATTATGAAAAGGTAAAATATTATTTGAGCATAGTTAAATTTTTCAAAATAAAATATCGGAAGTGCACGATATTGTTTTAGTTCACGTGGTTTTGACTGACGATGCGAATTACGAATTATCTTTAAAATTATAATTATAAGTTGTAACGTATAAGCAAATATTTATACAACTCAACCCACGTGTTACTAACGATTTACAATYGATCTCGGATCTGGAAGAAAAGGTGTACCAGGACACGGTCCTGAAGACCATCTCTTTGTACAAAATATTTTTTTTAAAGCATTTTACAGATACGATGCATTAAATTTTTTTAGTAAAAATGTTTAAATGAATATTCATAATAAATGTATGTTTGATAACAATATGGAAAATTTGTTATTAAGCGAAAGTGGGAATAATTGTGAATAATGCGTGATATTATCATGCATCTAATATTTATATTAGGTGTTTTTGACCTATTTACGTGAGATACATTTTTTTTTTTTATAATTGTAGCGTGTTACACTTAAAACTCATTTTATTACTGCGGTAATAATATATATTTTGTYTGAAAAAGTTATAATAATCGTTTTTAATATGTGTAAACATAAACCTAATTATTTTTGCTAGTCATATGAATTTTAAAAGTTTTTTGTATTAATTTAAATGGTAGTTACTAAATTACATAACACATGGAAAAAAGTGGTACCCAATTGAAAATGTTTTGAAACAAGAGAGTCTGGTGTCCCAGAGCTCAATGAACCTATAACCCGGCGTTGTGGGCCTATTTTAACCTTAATTTTTAGTTTATATTAAATTCTGTTTCTTGCACGATTAATCCACTGGAACATATTTTTTTTATATATTTTATTGATACGATTTACGTACGACGTTGTCATTGCCGTGGGAACGCTTATGAATTACAGTAGTATGCGCCAGATGTACACTATTTTAAATTGTGCTAGTCGGTAAGCGCATTGATGTTTATTTATTTTACTGCAGAATAAAACTACGTGTTATCGATGCCATAATATTATTGTATTGACATTTCCTGTGACTACGACTGTATTATAATATGACGTGTATCATATTTATTTTTCTGCTTCCGGTGGGGGAGAGGGGCTATCACGTCGTTCGCGGGAAATAGTTAATTTATTTAGATGACGAGTTGTGTTATAAGCATATAGGCGTATATTATATAGGTGAGGTGGTCCTAGGATGTGTGACGACCATAAATGAATATATTTTTTTTAAGTTGTAGTAATCTCTACAGTAGAGTGAGATGGACAATAGCATTTTCACGACCATATTCACAAATCGTTCTTCTATACATATCGAGTACCGATCACAATTTGAAAGATATTGGCTTTTCCAAGCTTTAAATGCTTATAATTCACAGGAAAAAATATTAGAGCTAGACATAAGTAGTTTAATTATTAACAGCAAACATATGGATACTAGCACAATGTTGGTTTTCTCAGASCTGCATGCAWTATATTACGTATAGATAAAACGCAGTTGTTTAAAATCGTTTTTTTATAATTTTTTAGTAACCAGTTAAGTTAAATCACCAATTATAAAAATATTGAGAACAATATTATTGTTGAGGGTTTAAAGGTATTAATCGAATTTAAAAATAATAATAAAACTTAAAAATAATAAAAATAAAAATTGGATATTTATTAAATCAATATTAAATTGATTTGAGATAATATTTAGGTAAATCGATGCCATACCCTCTAAAATATTATTCTCTTGCAGGATTTTTGTCATGGGCGATTTCGAATGCGTTTTGTTTATGTTTTACGTGAATCAGAGAAAGAAAACAAAATAGTATGACATCCTTAAGGATGAAACAAATTTGAGCAGACAAAAAAACACATACAAGGCTGATCACGTGGTAGCCTTAAAAAATATAGACACATTATTATAATATTATTATAATACAGAGTATACATGTATTGTGTTTTCGTGTTGTTTATAAACCGATGGTGGTGCGACGGGGGGAAGTGCGCGGACGGCTGCGTGCGGCCACATGATAATATAACAACACTAGTGCGCGAGTGCGTTCGCTGAGTGCCCCTCTCTCCGTCGGCCACCAAACCGACCGCACTTCCGCCACCGCCTCTGACACCGAACGGGTTCTCCTACGTGGAAAACGATCGTCAAGTGGTCCGCCGTGCCGTGGTGAGGTTTAGTACTCCGCGAACAGCAGGTTACCGTGCCGGCGACATGTGCGCGTCTCGACGGTCGTCTGCAGCCCGCCCGTGAAACTCACTCCAAAGTCCCGAAGACTTCCTGAATTTCGTGCGACTTTTTCCATCTCGTTCCGGCCGTGTGCGATTTTCTTCAATCGGACCGCTCGGGTAAGGAACCTCWCGATGATAATAATATTGTTAAATAGGGCATATTATCATAATATTGTTTATTAATATTATAAACGACTCTCGAAAACTCGAATTTGATTCTTTACCCATGAAGTGTTTTTGAAGCGTTTAATTCAAAAAATACACAAGTAGAATTATATGTTTATTCCCCTCGAGATTCGAGTTATTGAGACTCGACTGTGAATAATAATATTTTATTGTCGATCGTTTATCGATCGTTCTCGAGATACTGGACGGTTATTGTCATTATAGAACGATTTTTGATATTAAAATAATAATATTATATTATAGTTACACTATAATAGTATACTATTTATTAGTAGTGATAGAGGTTGAGACCGATTGAGTCTCCAAGGTTGGTATTCAAATTCGAGTAAGAACCTATAATATGCATAGGACACAAACAAACTATAATAAGATATGACTATATGAGTATTATCTGACGGTACAAAAACGATTTTTGGTATAATATCTTTTTTTCGTTCTGCTGGTTATCTCTCACAGCATACTATGATGGAACACGAGATACCTTATAGATTAGATGTATTATAATCAGATTTTATATCGATTTCACGCGATCGTGCTTTTATCGCGTCGGTAATATACATGTATATATTATATTATATACAACGATTATGGATACACTATAAACATGCGCCGCTGTTTCATGACATACATATTTTTTTTTATTCTCGTGATTTCACACAGATTTTATTTGGCAACAGAAAGTAATGATAATGTTTATACACTATTATTTCGAAGACACGCGATGTACCGTACTCGTAAAAGAATATATATTAAAACACCATCGTTATTATAGATTCATACGCAACATCTCTACATAATCAGCCATTATAGGTACCTATTTAATTAAATAATAATTTTCGTTTTCAACGTCATCGTAGTATCACGCCGAGTTCATTATATTTTTATCACACGAAATTACACGTGTCACGAGCTTTAACCAATTACGTGTTAGTACAGACAATTTGATGTTTTAATTATTTTATACGTGATTGATAGCAATAGGTTATTGTTTTTCTTATTTTTTTATTTCTTTTATAACAAGGTTCTCATTCATTGACAGTCTTATTCGACTAATGCACATCATTATTTATTATTATGACGTTTAAATAATAAGTATTTTCGTTGGAATTGTTTTAAATCGAAAATCGTATTAACGGGAAACGAAAGCGCGCTCRTTTACCACACAAAACAAAAGATTTTTTTTAAATTACAGCTAGTAGACTTGTGGTTTTTAATGTACGTAGAACATTATGGTCGCAGCTGGGATTTTATGTAGATACCGATGTCAATATAGACCATACGTTAAAATAATAGTTTTATCTTTTATCGTATATTTTAGTATATTATACTTTGTGTACTTAATTTTCGTGACTTTTTAACTTGAATATTCATCGATGATCRTTGTGCGAAATATACTTTACACGTGCAGAAGTTTAAATATAATTTACCCCACGATGTTTAAATATTTTCCCGTGGAGGGGACTGATATATATATATATATATATATGCGTGTGTGTGTTATATGAACGAAGTTCATAAATGTGTACATACACTTATAAATAAAATGAGCTAGCACTACACTCCAATGCACGCGTATATACAAAAAACAACCAATGATGTATACAATGAACATCTGTTATAATTTTATTTTATACTTTTATTATTGATTTACAAAAATACTTAAATTTGTTTTTGTGCTCATGGAAAAGTGAGCGAGCAATAAATTAAATTATTTTGAATTCGTTTAGAGTTTGTAAAACACTTAGCAATWACAAGTCACGGTGGATGGAAATATTCAATTTACTATTCGGAGAATTTAGGTTTCTATACTATATATAAATATATATATATACATATTTAAGTATTCATTGAGTATTTTCCTGACTCTCTGTTGTTTCCAAGCCTAGCGCGCTGCAAATTGTAATGTTAAAGGTTAATTATTACAACCGAGTTTGCTTAACTATATACAATTATTAGACTCACGTACTCGAAATTCGATAACACTATAAAATAATTATCACTCCCACTGCTACTACGATGATTTTCATTTTGATGAACTTCAATTTAATGAATTTTATTTTATTAATAAATATAAAAAAAAATAATTTAAATTTTTTTGCATAACATTAATTAATTATTTTTATAATTTAAATTATAAATGTGGTGCTGTAAAAGAACTTCAAATGTACGCACTAGTCGTGGTCTAATACCGTTAAATTAAAAATGTTTTCTATAGTGGAAATAATACGTTTGTATTATTATTCTCTGTAAATAAATAGCAAAAAATAGATTTTTTTATGCAACATTCAAGTATACAGTTTTTTTCTGTTCAAAGTACTCGGTATTGTTTCTGAAATGTCACGGGAACAGGTTTTCCAGATATGAAGCCCATTATTGTCAGTATAGAGCTGAATTATAGTAATCAGACATCGTATTGATGTGCGAGAAAATTTCTCTTTAAAATGCCGAGGTGAATGTGCTACATCTCGCCGCAGCAATACATCATAGTTATATGTTATATAGCGTGTAGTGGTCGCAGAATGTATAATCCGCGTGGTTCTGCCGATTAATAGAGCGTGCTAAAATCCATTAATTACAGAATTATTCTTTAAGGTAGAAAACGATGATTTTGATAAGTATTAAATCAATTATTTCATTAAAAAAAAAGAAGCACAATGCGCAGCGTTGTTAACAACTCAGAGAAAGCAGATGGCCTTGTTCGGATGTATCTTGATGGTGGCCAGAGTGGACATTACTTTCAAAACAACTAGACCTAAATCGGCGTCTGTTTGAGGGTTCTACAATAGCTGAGTGCCCGGCTTAACCGGTTTCGTCTATTGACAAAAATTAATTTTACCTTTTCAATTTTTATGCGCGCACACCACCACACACGCATTTGTATATTATGTACTACATATATACATACGCATAATATTATTATGTGCTTATTAGAAAGCTGAATTCGATTTTGTTGAAATATTATAATTATATTTGTACTCTTCATGTTTCGCAGACATTCTGTCGCAATGAGCACAGATAAACGAAGCCTGTCCGGCAGCAGGAAGGGCAAATTGAGGTATACGCTCAGAGGAGGATTCGACTTCGATACTATGGTAAGTGTWTGTGATCAAGACAACSTCGAAACACACCCTCCCGGGAGAGAGCTCACGAAGAGTGGGCAGTGTTTTTAATCGGCTAAATATTTTAGGGCCATTCAAGATATCATGAATTGCGTAAATTTGTGAAAAAGGGCAATGACTTTTGCAAAGAACTTGGAAACATTATGCAAGAAAGGTATAAACTCTAAACAATACACTTAATCAGAAATGTCGTRTTGAATTATTATTATCTATACCTAYGATATTAATAAAATTATACTATCGCTTATTTTTTGATTAAATGTTTTACAATATTTTTTTGTAAAACAATTTAGAGTGGAACTTGAGTTGCTTTATGCAAAAACAATGTCTAAGCTTTCTGTAAAACTCATGAAAGCAGCACAAAAAGGCGTCGGTTCAATACAAAAAGCTTGGTTAGTGATTGGTAAAGAGATGGAAACCGATGGTCAAGCACACCGTTGTATTGCTAATTCATTGGAGGACGATATAGTGAAACCACTTAAGAATTTGCAAGAAACACATTGTAGAATAAAAAAAACAGTTGAATGCAATGTTAGCAAAACCAGTAAGTTGCATTATAATGGAGAAAAAAATAGTAATTAAGTATTAATAGTAACATTGGTGCGTAATAAATAAGATATTTAACTTAGAGATGTATTAAATAAATAAAAAAGAACGATTTATTAGAAATTTATACTACGTCGACACGTCGTAAATAGTAAAATATGTATATTCCTATAAGTCTTGCAGTCGTTGTGAATTTCGTTGAACTAYCAAGCGTTTTTCCACCAAAAATTATTCTTACTATATGATTTTGATTGAATTACAMAATTTTTAAATAATTGTCCTCAATACCACTCATATTAAAACATGCTCAAACTTCATATTTGTGTTTTAAGTTTCTTAGTACAGTGGTATAAGTTAGAAGTTTTTTTTAAAATTTATTTAAAATTAGCCTTTATTTTTCCAATGCTCTGAATGATAGTGATATAATATTATTATATCAATTATACTGGTTGTAAATAAAACATTTCTAAAACAATATTTTAATGTAGGCGATTTAATATTATGTAAGCTAAAAGTTAAGCATGATGAACATATTACATAGATATAAAATTAACTTTGATGTATTCAATAATTAGAAAAGTGTATGAACAAATGGAGAACCGATGAACGAAGAAGTAAAAAAGAAAGTTTCACTGTGGCTAGAGAAAACGAAAAAGTTCAAGACATGACTAGTGATGCTTCTTATTCGATCCTCACAAGTAATTCGAATTTAATCAAAGATGCTACTAAAGTAAGTATTTAGCTTTCTGTCATATGTTATACGCCAAAATAATAAGCAAGTTTTTTTTTTTAGTTGGAAAACAAAAAAAAAAAATTGGAAGAGTCTGTAAAAAAGAGTTATACAGAATATTATACATATTGTGTTCGAACAGCTAGAGCCAAGTGAGAATATTATATTTAACTTAAAAAAAAAAAAAATGTTTTTAATATTATATAGGTAGGTTAGTACTAAGAAGGTACTGATAAAATTACATTATTGCATACGATATTTTATTTTAGATTCTGAGGGATACAAAAAACGCATCTTATTAGAAACAATGATGTGTGGATTTTAATTTTAAGATTTGTATTCATATAATATTTTAGACTATAAAATGTGCTCCAATCTTCAACGTCAAGGATGGTTCATTTTTATATTCACGGGGGGTATAATTGTTGGAAAACCTCAGTAAATTTGCAAGTTTCCTAATAGTAGTTGGAAAAAAACTCAYTTAGTACAGCATAAAAAGTTTATATTATAATTTATTTTGTATGAATTTAATGAATTATTTATCATTGATAAAADTTTAATACGTCCATTACAGTGAGTGAACTATTTAATTGCGTACTAGGTATACATACTAAACCAATACTRTCAGCAGAAATGAGTTTTTTAGTTTTAGTAATAATTTTTGTATTTATAGTGCTTTGTGATTTTGCAATATTCATATTTAGATATTCCAAAAAAATATATATAAAAAAAAGTAATACATATACCAATGTATAAACACTTAGTGTAGTTTTATAAGTGGTGTTTGATATTTTTAATATATGAAGGAAATATTTTTAAACTGKACCCAAATCAACCGACACTGACCACATTGTTTTTGGGAGTTTTAGTTTTCAACGAGAGATTCTCGGGTCAYGACCATTATCATAGTGTTATTATTCCACTAATAGGTTATAATATGATGTTCAAATTTCCGTCAAAATAAATAAATATATTTTTTAAGGACCCCTTATATTATTACGTATTAGAATTAACCGCATACTAACATTTTTGTAATTTTTATGTAATTTTCTTTCATAATTTATGATTGTACTTTGACGCTAAACTAGTGTCATATGTTATATTATTTAACATTTAAATTGCATACTATTTACGCAATAAGTAATACATTTTTAAGAATCAAATTTTAAAACTTCATTTCTTTTAACATATACACAACTATAATAGCTATATTTTTATACCAATATGCTTATATGCTGTGTATTATTATTATTATATATATTCAGCTAACACCATATACGTACGTTGGGAAATACAGTGGTAAAATTATATTACTTAATACTTGATATTATGATATAGAGACTATAAAAGGCGAGGTGTGGTGAGGCGTGTACATCGTAATTATTACGATTTGATGGATTTAAGTTCAGGGGTTCTCAAAAATTATCTAAAAATATACATTAATTTATTTTTGCGGAAATTGGAATGTATAACCTTGGTTAAATACGGCGAGGCCCATGATTTATTATTTGTATAATAATAAGCACTTGAACACTGTTCACAGGCTCGAATGGGARATGTCTGTAAACGACGCCGAAAARAATTTCATGACATTAGAGGAAGAACGTTTGCTGAGGCTAAAAGAATACGCCCATCACGTGTCGCAGACGTATCTACAGCTTGTTCCGAAAATTTCTCAGGTAACTTCATCGTCGTACTTATATATCTCACCCAATTCGTATACTTAAAAACTGCTGGGTTTTGTTTTTTAGTTGTCATCGCGACTCAGCGAACCGACGTACGAGTGCAACGTGTCGCAAGATTTTACAATAATCACAGACACGGTGAATCGATACGACGAAGATCTGAGCGTACAAGTGCTGCCCGACTTTTATCCGGAACACACGAATCTGGCGATGAACAAAAAGAGAAGAATATCCGTGAGTGATTTTTTATGGGCGTTTTCCCGAAATAACAATAATAATTATTAATTATCAATAAAAACAAAATAAAAATATTATTATAATATTTTAGGCATTGACGAAAATACTACAGCTTGTTAGACAGGATTTGGACCGTGAGCGGCGCAGTAAAAAAGGCTTGGACACGCTGGCCAACGCGATGCACCACCACGCTTCTTCCGGTTTAAAACATGACGACTCGCACAAAAACGTCTACGAAAAACTTCACCACGTTAGTCCAGAACACAATTTTTTTGTATCTATACTGCATCATTTGTCCTTATCGGGACCATCGCAGGTGGCAGGCGTCGGGCGCACCCGTCCACGATTCGGAACGTTGTATAATTACAAGTTACAACTGGATCTTCCTTATTCGGAAACGCACATAAATATATACAGGATAATCCACTTAAGCATTATGCTCATCTAAACATTTTTTAACTCATCGAATTTATTCAAATTAATCTTGTTTTAAGGTACCTATTTTAGGATCACGCCATTTTCAGTTRTCTACTCAGGTTTTCAAATTATCAYGGATGCCATATCTTCTAAACACATTATCATGGAGCTATTATTCGTTTGGAATTTTGAACTTTATAGAACCTTAAAATTAAGATATAATATTTTTAAATATTTAAATAATAACATTCAATTAACTACAGTTTTTAGTGGTTTTTATAGCTATACAATCAAAAATATATTTTTTTGGCCGCAGCGTATTGACATGAGCGTTTGTGAGAGTTTAAAGCGATACAGAAGACACACACACAGACATAATGTTCAATAACTAAAACTCATATATTGTCACAGCTCAGGTTAGGTTATTATCTACATACATGCTGTGTGAATTGCCTACATATTGTTACTTTTGAATTAAATTCTACGCACCAGCAGCCATAAAGTATGTTAAAAAGGTCCAAAAATTTAGAATTAATTTGAATAATTTGTTATGGACAAAAAAAAAATGAGTGTAGCGAGCATGCTCAGTGTACCACCCTGTAGAATATCATGAATAACCACACCAATTTTCGTTTAGATTTGTTTTTTAAATTATCATACCTATCATCTCGTCTTGGCCACCTTCAATTATTAAAGGCGCGTACGAGTCGGGTTACGCTGAAGTAGCAGTAAAAAACACACTCAACGCCTRTGTAATGATTATAATAATATTAACATGTCACGTGCGCACTTTGTTTTTCAGACGAATTTAATGATACTGTACTTAGAAGCGGTCAATTATAAAATAGTTACAGCACTAGCTACTCTGGAAGGTCACCCGCCCTCCGCGTCCAACACGTTCTCGCAGCACATCGAGACGACCAGAGACAAAAACGGACATCAGATGTCTGTACTCAAAGTATGTACCCACGCAGATCRCGAACATCGGTCGTTGCCGCCCACCGAGAATTGTTCGACGGTCGGCAATTCGTTTACAAAATATTTTTATAYATCGCACTGACCGGATATTGGGCCACGGCGAAAATATGTTTAAATGGCACCGGAATTCGAGCCATATATTTAAAACTCAATCAAAATAACTTGTAACTATATAASTTGGATAAGTTCAATCTATACACGCATATTTCATTTATTCAATTAAGCCATTGRATAAAATAAAATTACGTATAAAGTATGATACACGTTTGGTTAAAAATCATAATAATAAGCCACATTTTTTTTCTCGGAATAATGAGATTAAAAAACATTTAATTAATATACGGTTTAGTGATAATATAAACCTCGTGATACCCTCAAAATATTATGTCCCCAAATAAGTATAATATGAGGAAGTTCTAGAAAATATTCAAGTCGTGGTACCTTTTATAAAAAATATGCTAAATTATAAGAGCTTAGTATAGTTACCGGTTTCTCTTTTAAAAAAAAAAAACAAAGGTTAATTGTGGCCGCCCAATTCTCGGACGTCCGATTTATCATAAAACTTAAACCATCATGATTTATTAATGTTTTCTGTCCGTTATTCAGATGCCCGCATCAGTGTGCCAGAAGCTGACGTCCTCCGCAGCTCCCATCGATGCCCTGCTGAACGAGTCCATGTGGTCAGATCGAGGATCCGCGGATGGTACTGACATCGGTGGGCAATTTTTCCATTCTGCTTATGCGAATCTCTCTGGATCAAGTTCCAATCTGGTCCATACTCGTTGTTATATATGTTTAGACAGACAGACGACGGTCGATAGAAAAAAAGCGTTCGATGGAAATTCTTAGAAAAACCGTACCTATCGTCGTCGTCGTCATAATACTATTGAAATATCAGAAGTCTCACACAATTAGTCAATTAGTGCCATAAAYACCTATGATGATAATTATTTTTTTTAACACGAATTATTTTGATTTCCGTGTTATTGCTATTATATCGATCGTCGGTGTATTGTTTTATTTTATTCACCCGATCTGATAATTGTTGTGTGAAACATGTTTCGAAAACAAAAAATGGTTCACCAAAAATCACGTTCTCGTTTACCACCAAAATGTAGTTGCGATTCTCCACGAAGAGTTATTATTATGACAGCTGTTTATCGATAAACTGTCTCAATTGTTTATAATCACAAAAGAATGCAGAYTCATCGCATAATTTAAACAGATATCTATCGCATAATGATTTAACAGGATAGGAGAACAATTAACGGTTTTAGTTTTATTGAAAATACCAAGTAGCTACATCCTTTTATTTATGAAAGCTGAAAATGATTGTCCAGAAGTWATGAATATTAATAATTGCTTATCAATAGTAGCTTACGGAAATGCATTTCCAAAATAAAATAATTCTAAAAAGTTTGTACAAAAAGTTACAAGGTATATACCTATTACGCGTTCATTGAATATGCATAAAATATAAGTACATTCAAGTAATCTAGATACATCAGATTAATATACCTTCTGCATGACCTATAAAGAGATCAATGTTATTTTTCAACTTGAGCTGCCCTAAAGTGAAAAAAAAATTTAATATTTTATTCGTCGGAAAACCAGAAATATATTTCTTCTACTATAAATAAATCTAACTGTCTTTCGTTCATTTATGCAATAGGTATGATAAGGTTTATTTTAAAGTAGTTTTTTACTAAAATAATTAATATGATTCAGTACTTGCTTGATCTTATAAACATAACGTTTATATAAATTGTAGTTGTTAACTATCAGGTGATAAACTGATAACCAYGTACCACCGTGATGCTTCCAATAATATGACCACGTGTTATCAAATGAAGAAAAATATAATTACAATTAAACTATGATCGGTTCATTAAAAATAAAAATAAAATTATTCGATTGTTATATCACTCTCATAATATGTTATCATCTGCATAATTTTATATCATTAAACATGGTAATTATAGGTTAGGTTACATTTCATTACATTTCATTACATTATAATATTTTGTAGTAGGTACCATTATTGTTTGTCAGTCCATAGCTATAGTATACTAATCAGGAGGATTTTTTTATATAGATGATTTCTCTAGCGACGAAGACGATGCCGATGATGACGATGACGTTGAAAACATAAAAAKACCTCGTTGTAAGGCTCTCTACCAGTATTCAGCGAAATTAAACGATGAATTGAGTTTAGAACCAGGTAAGTCAAACATAAAAACTTTCACCGCTGTGGTGCACATTTGCGGATAACCGAATGGTGTTGTTTTAACGCTTTGTAAATATGTTTTAGGTGATGTTATACACATCCACAGCAAAAAGTCCGACGGCTGGTGGTTAGGAGAGCTGAAGGGCGCTGTCGGAGTATTCCCAGCTACATACGTTGTAGAAATTGACTGAAATGTGTTTAAAATATTTATATTGTATATAATTATAAGTTTACCAAAGATTATTAGAGCCTAACAAATCACACACAGTTTATGCATATACCTTTATGTACAATATGTTGTTAACGTTTAAGTATTAAGTATAATCTTATACAGGTAATTATTACAAAAATAAAACATTTTCTTAATTTTGTATTTTTTCTGTTGTTATTGTTAAATAATGTATAAAAAAAAAATGTCATAATATACTTTATACTCATGTTGTAGACTGTATGGGTATTAAACTATATCGAACTTTTAAAAACAATAATAATAATAATAATAATAATACAATACCACAAAAATAATAATAATAATAAAATATTGTATATAAATAAATTACCACAGATAAAGCTCGCTGGAGGATTATAGTGGGCCAGAGGATGGGGAGGGAAATCTGTGGGAGGGAAGAGTTAAGTCGTCGACGGGAATGTTTTTTTGTGGGGTGACAAGTTGGGGGGAGTGGTACGAGTCAAAGGACTGGTTTGATCGTAATCGAGTATGTAATGATATTTTACACTTATATAACATTGTTTTTGTGCTGATGTTACATTATAAGGCGCACGAACGACGAGATTTTGTAATTAACACATGTTATTATGATCATCATTTCGCATGATAATCACAATAATTATAATTATGATGTTGAGTGTTCGGTCGGAGGGTGGTCTCACCAAACTTGGCACTTCTTGACCGGGTTCATGTTGGAGCCAAGCGGACACCGGAAGTCGTGACTGAAGTCTTCCAGGTTGGAGAACGGGCCRATGATCCGGAAGCGGCCGGGTGAGTGGAAGCCGGTTGTGATGCGGTTCTTGAGTGTTTCCGGTCGGTACTTGGAGCACCACACGTTGGCGGCACTGATCCAGAACATTTGTTGAGGTGTGTAGTCCTGAAGTCCGGGAAGCCGAGGTTCGACGCCGTTTCGTTTGGTCCACACGTTGTACGCGTAGTACGCTTCCTTCACACCACCGTTGTCCGCGATATTCTCACCCTGCGTGTTGATGCCGTTCAACTGCGGAAAATRAGTCTTAGGATTAGGTCATGTGTATACAGCTAGTGGCCAGTGTGAAAGTGATCCGAGGATTTTAAATAATCAATTATCGGATGGTATGGTGCGATTCGCGAAACATTTTTAAATACATTTAATTCGTGTTATACAAAAATATGTCGATTAAAACTCAACGCAATCAGGGATAAAAATCTAAGTCTTTTACGTGGCGACTGTTTGAAAAGAACGAGATATATAAGGAACTGGGAAGTACCAAAGACAATAAGACGAATATTGTAATRTTGTATTATAAATTCTACGGTTTAAATAAAAATGTATAACTGTAAATTATAATATCAATAAGGAAGTTGGTGCTCTTGGTGTCTCTTGTTTAAGGCGGAAAATGTAGGCAATTTCTAATCTTATCGTCACTGCTCGTGATTTACTAGTCGTTAACGATTATAACTGTATAGTATGAGGTTCAATATACGAATGGACGTGATTATTAAATTTCTAGTACTTCATCGGACAATAAAATATTTTTGTACTTATGTGACAATGAATAAGCCTGGTAAGYTGGTAAGTCATGTAAGCTGGCGAACAGTAAATATATACTAATAGTTGTTCAATTTTAATTTTGAAAAATAATTTGAATTCAATAACCTATTCTTTGTGTTTAGTAGGCAATATATTTTTGATATGTTATGTAGTATAATTCAAAATGAATTTAATTAACTTTTCAGCATAAAATAAACTAACATGCAGGACAATAAAACAAAAAAATTAAAAAAGTTTTTCTTACAAAATATAAAAAATGRACTAACAAATTCAAATAATTTTTCAAAATAAAAAAATGGACTACTTTAATTATAGTTTTTTTTCGACAGTTTATTGTCTGAATGCATCAAAAATCTAATCGTTTTGAATCCTTTTATAATAATAATAATGTGTATTACAAATTAATGATATGAACGATATAATAATAATATTATGTGGGTACAATAAACGATAGGTATTGTTATTTTCGATAAAATGTAATTGGTAATTGGTTTTAAACGCCTGTTTATTGTAACTTATAGTTTTGAATTTATAAAAAAATCTGATTTTCTTATCTCCCCACTTATGTCAAAGTCAATGTCAATGACGACTATTTGGTGTAATGGGAATATACATTTTTATGTGAAGAGAATCTRTTAATAGTATTCGCGATTCGTTCCAAACGAGTATTAGAAAATTATAACATATTATTTTTCGAAGAATTTTTTTGAATTCATAATAAATTAACAACTTATCGATTGTTTGGTGAAATCTATAATGGCGAACAATAATTCGAATTTTAAACAGCTGGGTATTCGAAATTCAATAAAAATAACAAATTTAACCTCGAAGGTTATGCGCGTTAAAACGTTGTCTTAAGAAACTTATTAATTTTATTACACATACCTTGAGACCGACTTCTTGAGCCGTGTAATTTCCATACTGTTTGATGATGCACAACGCCTTCTCCAAGTAGCGTTTCTTCGTCTCCTCCGCCCACCAGTCCACCAGATTACCCTGCTTATCGAACTGTCTACCTTGGTCATCAAAACCATGGGTGATCTCGTGACCGATTACGAACCCAATGGCTCCGTAATTCATGTATCGAGGACGATCGCTGGAGAAGAACGCCCCTTGCAAGATACCGGCAGGAAACTCTGGAAAATGTAAAATCGTTTACATTATAGTAATTATTACACGGTCTTAATACAACCCTTGTATATTATAATTTAAGTATAGTAGTTAGAATTTAAACATTATACATTTTTGAAAACACTTTTTAAAAGTATTTAAGTAGGCATCTATGTATAACTCATCGTGTTCTTTTATTTAAAATATCACATTAAAAGATTATAAACAACGAATTTCGGTTTGTTAAGTATAGTGTTTAATGGAAGAATACAAATATTACTAATAAACATCTTAGTGTTATCTTTTACAATAATTTAAATTTAATTATACTGTTCCTAAAAAGTCACCCAAAAGCCAAAATATAGTGGATTGGCTGAGAATATAGTTATTGTTTGTTGATTACTAAATTTTGTATTTTAATTTAAATGTTAAACCGGCTAATTGGCAACAAGGGTTGACGCTGAATAATTAGGTATTCGTATATGATATAAAAAATAGTATTTATTGCGATATTACTTACGGATACTGTTTTCAATTGCACTATAAAATGCATTTACAATTGCCGTTTTACTGTGAGTAATCCAATCCGATTTGTTAACAGGTTGCCTTAATTTTGAAAAGCTGTAGTCAGTGCCAAATTTAGTCAAATTCAATACTGATGTATAATAGTCGTTGTCGTTGACTTCAAGCTAAGAAAAAAAACAACACATGTAATTATTATTAAAAAATTATCTTAATAAAAACAATTTTTTAAATCTTATTATATCGTTTAACTATTTCCTATGCGCTCTAGTTAGGTCACAATATATTATAATTAATTACATTTTCATAGAACGCATTCAACTTGCTGTCGTCCAATAATTCATCAGGGTATGCAATGTGACTGGTCATCGATTTTGCTTTGTCTATTGCGTTTTTCCTGTAGTAAAAAATACAAAAATTATAAAATTATAAACATTTTTAATGTCGAAAGAGATGCACACGTGAATCAAAATTCAAACTTTACCTTGTTTCATCGTCCATCCAATCAATCGACGTTAATATTTTGTACATTTCCTCCCTGATACCGTTCACCATTTCTAAAGCGTTCTTTTTAGCGTTTTCGTCAAAGAACCGTCTTACGTATAACGACCCGATGGCTAGTGAGAAACTTCCTGAACTTATGTCCACGCATTCCTTCCATCTGGGTTCTCTTTCAGTCCTACCAGAGAGCTCGGTGCTGTACTCCAACTGTCTTTTTCTCATTTCTTCGGTCAGATAACTGACAGACGCTGCGGCAGCTCTCCAAATCACGTAATTCGCTTGGATCCTGCCGAAAATAAAATAAAATTAATGATTGATCCGTTAAGAGCGCTTAATTTTTTAAACAGCTGAAACTTTTATTGATATTTTCAAAATTATAATATTATATGTCTTTATATCCAAAGAATTAATTATATACTTTACATTTTGCTTCAATAACTGCAGTAATACAAAGAGTAATCACTTTTCTTATTTGCAATAAATATTTGGAAATAAAACAATTTAAAGTTTACTTAATATTACATCATATAATAATATTTATGAAGACCTAAATCCGTACGCAATATTTGTATAATCTTTACCTCTTGGGCGTATTACTGAGTAAGGCTTCGAGGTCTGACAAGTATTTCGGTGAATTTACAATTATAATGTCGTCTTGCCGTATGGTCAACGGGTTTAAAAGTTTGTTTARGTACTCTTGCCATGGTATGCTCGGGAACTTTTGTTGTAGGTCGGCAATCTTCATCGGGTTGTACAGCTTGGCGGCGTCTCTTCGCTCTTCCAGGGGCAGCGATATCTTTGCCAATCCTATCTCGAAGTCCAACGACTCTCTCAGCTCCTTGGTGGCTCTCTGCCGTTCAGCGCCAAAGAGTACCGCGATGTCTACCATGTACCTGTAGTACGCGGCCACGATTTTGTCGTCAGTGCCCTTTACCAGGTACTCCCGGCTGAGTCCCAAGGACGCTTGATCCAGCTGAAATATATCGATCGGGCGCAAAAAATACCCGTCAAACGCATTATTATACACACTCGAAGCAATAATAATATATTTTTTTTAAACAATATTTTTAATCAGCTCACGTCAATGGCTCTCATCGTTGTGTTTTTTAAATCTGTGCTAATGGAGAAGTCGATGAAGTAGTCCACGCTGTAGCCCGCCAATCTGAACTTGTACACGCTGTCCTTCCACGTGAAATCCGCGTCGTTCCATTTGTCTGCTTCCAGCACTGGCCATCCACCGAGGCTTTTCAACATTTCCTTGATCGGTCCCAAGCCTTGTTTTTCAATTTTTTCTGTTGACAAAGTTTTTAGCGATTATATAAGATGATATGCTAATATATACCTTCACTGTTAATTATGTTTACGATATACTCGTAGATATTAGATACTCTGTGTCAATCATTTATACCTTTGTCCATGCACGATTTATATAGTAATTTAGCCATTTTGAAAGGTTTTTGTTCATTCGGTTGAATGG